GAGAGAGAGAGAGATGGGGAGGGGGAGAGAATGAATGAATCCCAAGCAGGCTCCGCACTGTCAGCGCAGAGCCAGATGCAGGGCTTGAACTCATGAACTGTGAGATCATGAGCTGCGCCGAAATCAAGATGCCTAACTGATTGAGCCACCCGGCTCCTGTTCTAAGTTTTTGTTTCGATCCCTCTCTTCTCCATAGTAACCAGATATGACCTGGTTGGAGCTGGGCTGGACGAACAGCAGGTGGTCCTCTGACCTGTCCACATTGCCCGTAACTACAGCTTTTATTTGCGTAGGTTCACTGTGCCTCCTTCCTTCTCACAGTTGGGCCTATCTGCCAGGGAGTGCCTTCACCCAAATTTCCCTGATTTGGGAGGGACAAACTTGGGCTGGGCCCCATGCTGCAGATAACATACTGACTTATATATTCTTGTCCTTAGGGTGGCAGAAAAGTAAGTGTGCCACCTAAAGAACAAATTAGAAACAGACCACGCATTTTGGTGAAACCACCTCCTTCTTGCTGAGTGAGCAGGACTCAGTTCTCACCCAAATACCAATACTTTCAATCTGCTGAAATATCCAGTTCAGCCAAAAAAAAATTGCAGTTCAGGAGTTCAGCAGCGTCTGTGTAGAATTTAATTCCTGACCTGCTAGAATGTGCTATATTTTATTCCCTGAGTCTGAGGAGAGAGTGGAGGTACTGGAATAGTCATTCCCAGTGTGGCTATGCCAGGAAGGAGAAGCAGTTATTAACATAGGAAGGTCCTCCGCCTTGACTGCCACTACTCTTGTATGGTAACTATGAAGGAGTCCAAGTTTTATGAAAGTCAAACCCACTGTCTCTAACTACCAAGTGACTCCAGAGAAGCAAGTTAGTGGGTTTAATTAAAGCAGGGATTATAGATAGCAATGGAAGAGTAAACGCTGTCCTGACTGGAGTGGCTCTAGAACCATCTTTGGTTCTATAGAGATACAGGCAACATGGTTGAGTCAGTTACATAGAGATCTCTCTGAACTGAGGACAATTTGTAGTTGTTAACACTCACCTCTCTCAACCCTAAAACAAACACCGGATTGAAATCTATGAAAACAGTTCTATGTGGCTTATCATTGTTTTTCTTTTGAAAACCTAGAGTTTTGATCATTTTTGTGGGAGGTAGAGGATTATTTTAACCGATTTTATATTTTACTAAAAGGACCCAAAGATATTAATTAAATGTATCTAGTTATACCTTCCTTTGGTTCTGCAGACCTGCCCTTGGGTAGTCTGTGCACAAATTGGGATGCGGAAAGGGTCCCTGAGGTTCTGTGCATTACACAGAATACACTTTTGTTTGCCGGCGTGATGCCCACTGCAAGAGAGAGGGAACAAAACAGCATAGGCCATCCTTGGATAGATCTTCCTTTAGGTAGTAACACTAGAGCCTGTTAGTTATCCAGGAATGTGGCATAATAGAGCAAAGCATTAAAGGGAGAAAGCCCAAACTTCAATCAGTAGTCTGCTTTCAACCTCTGGCTGGCCCCAACCTGCCTTTATAGTGCTAATAAGCGGTGGAGTGAATTGGTTATTTCACTGCTTTGCAATTGCTTCGCACACCCTTTGCCAGCCAAGTGGCAAGAGATCAGGCAGCCAAGGTGGCAGAGGAGAAAAAAGAATAGGACTACTTCAATCGAGAAACTCCTACATCCATCTCCCAAATTAGAGGATTAATCGACCAAAGGTGAGGACAAGTTTAGAAGGCACGTTTAGCAAAAACATCGGTTCTATTATGTTAAGAAGGAAAGAGCCCAGCGTGTCAATTTCCTTTCATCCTCTGTATCCTCCATTATTTTACAGCCTTCAACATCCTGGTGAATGTCGGCGTGGTGCTGACATACCCAATCCTGATCTCCATTGGGACAGTGCTCAGCGTTCCTGGAAATGCAGGTACTGGTGTGATTTGACATGTGCAAATAAGTCTCTGCTCATGTTCCTTTTACACCCCGAGTTGTTTCTTCGAGCAATTGTGAATTATGTCCTTTGCCTGAGAAGATGTTTTTAAATATCATGAAGGTGGCAGACAACAGAATAACTATGCAGCAGATTTAAAATTTGCAGCTATAAACACTGTTTTTTCTTGGTCGTGCTTTTAGAATTAAACACCAAATGTATCATTTGGGTTTCATGTAATCTCCCTGACAACCTAATTTTGTGGTATTTTTAGAGGAAGTCCTATGGAAACAAAAGGCATCCCAGCATAGGACTCTCAAGTAAACGTCACTAATGAAAGTGTAGGAAATGTACAGGGTGTTGGCTCCCCATCAGACTATCCGTGGGGAGCTGCAGAAGCTTCTCCTGGGGGCAGAGCAGATGGCCCTCTGGAACAGATACATGAAAAGGCAATTTGACTCACTTCAGGGATGAGAAGAGAAGCTGTTTTTCCAGAGTAATCTTTTAGTGAAAGCTGTCAGTGGAACAAGTAATGAAAGTGAGTGATTTGGAAGACTGTACAGTCCTTCCAACTGTAAAATTCTATTTTTCCAAGTCTCGGGTACCCAGCTTCCTTTGCCCCCAGGACAATCAGCAAGTGTTCATTGAGCACTTACTATGCGCAAGACTGTAAAAGAAACAACAACAACAACAAAACACCCTGGACATTCCCAAAGGAACTTTCACTGAATTTGGAAAGTAAGACCGATATGTATGAAATAACTTACAACTCCATGTACCATTTGTTAGTAAATGCCAAATTGTTTGAGACAGACTGTTGGGACTATAAGATATTCAGAAGAAAGAAATATCAGAAAGGAGTGGAGTTATGGAAGATCATTCATTCATCCAGGGATTCATTCATTCAATAAAGCATCGCTGAGCACTTAGGATGTTCCAGGAACTGTGCCTAATGCTGGTGATAGATCCTGAATAAGACCTACTGTCTGCTTTCAAGACCATGTGGTGGAGAGAGGGAGACAAAAGGAATTGAGTAGATATGATGTAGAGACAGAATTGCTTTGATAGAGGAATGTATGTAATGCATGCTCTGAGAGCACCCAGGAAGGGCATCCAGCCAGCTTCCTGCAAGAAGCCAAAAGGGAGAGCTACTGGAGAGATTAGCTGGATGGTGTGGATATGAGAAGGAAAGGGCATTGCTTGTACAAAGCACAACATGTATGACCGACAATTCCGCTACTAGCTACATGTGCCAAAAAACTGAAAACAGGGACTCAAAAATATGCTTATAAACGAATGGTCATTGCAGCATACTCGCAATGACCAAAAGGTGAAAGCACCCAAATGTCCATCAACAGATGAATTGACAAGCAAGTTGTGATACAATGGGGCATCATTCAACCATAAAAGGGCACGAAGTATGGATACATGCTACCACATGGTTGAACCTCAAAAACTTCACGTTAAGTGAAAGAAACCACACACAAAAAGCCACATATGGTATGATGCCATTTATACGAAATCCCTAAAATGGGGAAATCCATGGAAACAAACAGCATATTCCCAAACAGCAGATTCCCATTCCCAAAACAAATGGGTAACGGATTTTAATTTCTTTTTTTACGTTTATTTACTTTTGATAGAGACAGAGCACAAGCGGGGGAGGGGCAGAGAGAGAGGGAGACACTGAATTGGAAGCAGGCCCCAGGCTCTGAGCTGTCAGCACAGAGCCCGAGGCAGGGCTCCAACCCACAAACTGAGAGATCATGACCTGAGCCGAAGTGGAACGCTTAACCCACTGAGCCACCCAGGCCCCGCTTAACAGGTTTTACTTTGAAGTGATGGAGATGTTTTGGAACCAGATGAAGGTGGTGGTTGTACAACATTGTGAATGTACAAAATACCACTAAATTCATTTTAAAATAGTTAATTTTAGGGGCACCTGGGTGGCTCATGGCTGAGCCCTCAGGCCTGTGTCATGATCTCATTTGTTCATGGGGTTCTCCTGACCCCACGCTGGGCTCTGTGCTGACTGCTTGAAGCAGCCTGGAGCCTGCTTCTGATTCTGTGTCCCCCTCTCTTTCCACCCCACCCCTGCTTGTGCTCTCTTTCAAAAATGAATAAAAATAAAATAATAAAATAAAATAAAATAAAATAAAATAAAATAAAATAAAATAAAATAAAACAGTTAATTTTAGGGGTGCTTGGGTGGCTCAGTCAGTTGAGCATCTGACCCTTGATCTCAGCTCAGGTCATGATCTCATGCTTTGTGAGATCAAGCCCCACATCAGGTTCTGTGCTGACAGTGTGGAACCTGCTTGGGATTCTACACTCTCCTTCTTTTGATCCCCCTCCACCTCACAGGTGCTCACCATTACGCATGCCTCTTCCTCTCTTCTCTTCAAAGTAAATAAGTAAGCTTTAAAAAAAATAGTTAATTTTAATTGATAGGAATTCCATCTCAATTAAAAATTTTTAAGAACAGCATGTGTAAAGACATATATATTAAAAAGCTTTGCTCATTTGAAAAAATCTTCAGCGGCCAATGAAACTGAAGTGAAACTGGAGAAGTGTGAAGGGACACAGAAGAAAAGTTTCAAGAAATAAAAACTGCAGAGTTGTAATTAAATGAGATGACATGAGCCTTGAAAGATAAATCTGATTTAGAGAGAAGGAACAGAATGCAAACAAAGGGAACAATATAATGATATAGAGAAAGGAAAGACGAGCTTGAAAGAACAAGGGAGACTTTAGAAATTTCTAGAAGTAGTTGGTGCACCTTGGGGCGGGGGCTCAGTCGGTTGAGTGTCCAACTCTTGATTTTGGCCCAGGTCATAATCGCAGGGTCGTGGAATCAAGCCTCTCGTTGCACTCTGAATTCAGTACGGAACCTGCTTAAGATTCTCTCTCTCTTCTCTTCTCTCTTTCTGCCCCCCCCCATCAAATTTTAAAAAATTAAAGAAAGAAATTTCTAGAAATAGCAACGACTTTGGTCATTTGCTCTCAAAGGAGCTTCGAAACAGTCATAAACTGCGGCTTGATTTTTCTTCCCTAGCTGTGGATCTCCTGAAGCAGGAGGTGATATTCAGTGTTGTCCGCCTGGCCGCTACGATCATCATCTGCATTGGGTTTCTGCTGATGCTCTTGCCAGAGGAGTGGGATGAAATTACCCTCAGATTCATCAATAGCCTGAAGGAAAAGAAGAGCGAGGAGCATGTGGACGACATTACTGATTCCAATGTACATCTGCGGAGCAGAAGCAGGGCCAATGGGACAGTGTCTATACCACTGGCTTAACGAGGGACCCATTTTGAATGCACGTGTATGTATATTCTGTGAATATAATAAAATTTTCTCACTACCGGTACACTCAAATGACAATATTAACTCTGAATTTGGATAAGTCATATGTGAAACAATGCCAATGATAAAAGTTTACATTTATATGCTTATCAAGGAACTGGTGTAAATGATCATAATAAAAATTTTTTATGAAAACATATCCATCTTAGTTGTTTCTTCTGTTTCAGAGGGAATTGTCCCCTCCCCCCCAATTTGAAAATTTTCCTGAAAACATGAGATTTTACTAAGTTATGAGTTTATCGTGACCTTACCCTCACCAGGAACTAAGACATTTTCATTCAATCAGAGAAAATGACGTAAGAGGAAAACACATGAAAAGGATACACACTTTGTATATATTTAAGTCCAATAAAAGCCTCAAATTCTAAGGCTGGAAAATAATTAGACGACTAACAAAAGAGCACCTTCTATATGCAAGACCTACTCTGGGAAAAATGAACATGAAAATATAGAAGACTTAGTGTGTACTTCCAGTGTGCTTAGAGAAGTACAGAGAATAAGAGTGGTTACAAATACAGTAAAGCCTTGGATTGCAATTAACTTGTTCTGCGAGTGTTCTGCAGATGAGCAAACATTTCTAATAAATTTTAACTTGATAAACAATCGATGCCTTGCAACGCGAGTAGTATGTGACACTGAACGTCACATGATCACAACTGAACCAGTGGTTCTTGAAATTCACTTTGATATACAAGCACTTTGGATTACCAGCATGTTTCACAAACCAAGGTTTTACTGTATGTCTGATATGAGGTAGACATTTTAAAATGGCACAGGGATTACAGAGAGGACATCTCTACAGCACTTGACATGATGATCATTCCTTTTTCCTGAAATATCCTCTTTACTTGAATCCCATACAGTTTCCTCATTCTCTTTTTGCCTCACCAGCTGCTTTTCTGGGCACTTCTTCCAAGGCTGGTCTCCTCACTCAGTGTTCAGTCTTTGGCCTTCTTAGCATCTCATTCCATACTCTCTCCCTCAGAGACCTCACCTACTCCTTGGGCTTCAAATGTCATCCATGCAGTGTTGGCTTAAAAATCTTTATCTCCAGCCCAGATTTGTCCCCTGGCCTTCAGATCTGACTTCCGAAATGCCTTCTGCGAGCTCACTTGGATGCCTCATTGTTGACTTCAAATTCAAGAACAAAGTTGAATTTATCATCTCTCTCCTCCAGATCTATTCCTTCTCCCTTGTTCCCTGTCGAGGTTAATGGTGCCATCATTAGCCAGCTGCCCAAATGAATGAAAGAGTCTCTCTCTGCACTGGTCGAACTCCAAGTCTTGCTTCTAATTCCTTTTATGCCCTACAGAGTGACTTTTAATAAATAAATGTGATCATTCTACTCTCCTGTATAAAACATTTCAGTTGTGGAGCGCCTAGGTAGCTCAGTCGGTTAAGGGTCCAACTCTTGATTTCAGCTCAGGTTCATGATCTCATGATTCATGAAATCAAGCCCCACTTTGGGCTCTGCACTGACAGCTCAGAGCCTGCTTGTGATTCTCTCTCTCTGCCCCTCCCCACCAATATGCACGTGCTCCCTCTCTCTCAAAATCAATCAATAAATATAAAAACACACACACACACTTCAATGGCATCTTACTGTTCTCAGTATAAGCTCCAAGTACCTTTGCGTGTCATTCAGAGTTCATCCAGAGTTGGTTGCTGACTGGCCCCTGTCTACCTCTACAGAGGCACCATCCAACAGAACTTCTGTGATGATGAAAATATTCTATATCTGCACGTGCAACGCAGTAGCCACAGTGGCTATTGAGCTCTTTAAATATGGCTAGTGCCATTCAGGGACTGCATTTCTAATTTTATGGACTGTTAATTGATTTGAAATGAAATTTAAATCGCCACCTGTGGCTATTGGCTACCATATTGGACAGCACAGCCCTGGAGCCTCATTCCACCATACCACCCAACTGTGGCCCCTTGAATCTGTGCTTTAGCGACACTACAACTTCCTGTAATTCTTCAACCAAGACGTGCTCTCTTTCTTGTATTCTCTTTGCCTCTCTCATCATCTAACCATTACCTAGGCATCATGACATGATTTATTTCTATTTTCCCAGCAAATCTTTTCTTTTCCCCCAAGGTGAACAACGTGGCTTCCTAAGAATACTCTGCTTACTACCATTATAGTACTGGTCACCCTCCGTGGTAATGACCAGTTTACTGGCCTGAGTTCCCAGTAGGCCAGGAGATCCTTGAGAGCCGGGACTGTGTGCCAGTCATCATTGGGTTCCTAGCACATGTCTGGCACTTGCAAACATTCAATAAGTAAATAAATGGGTTGCTTTACCCTGGATATATGCCCCTCCCTCAAACTGTATTAGATCGGTCTTAGTTAAGGCTTTTTTTCCAGATGAGATTGGTTAAAGTAAGCAACATAAGGGATTAAATGTTGCCACAAAATACCAACTTGCTGAATTGCTCAAAGGCACTTTTTCCCAAAGAGGCTGGTTAAAGCATATAACAATGTAAGATAATCTGCACTTTCTGAGAAGTTTAGTATAAGAAGCCAAACCTTTCTGCATCTGTTTTACTATTCTTTTTTAATTCAAGTGCCCCCCCACAAAATATAGGTGAGACAATCGCAGGGCAAGAAACGGGGACTCAGGATATCACACCCGCTGAGCATCATGGTAAATGAAAACCTTATTTTTTTTGTCATTTCTCTGTCATTTTTTGAAAAGGCAATGCCAGTCTTCTGGTGTAGACAGATGACATGATATTAACTAACATAATAACTATGACTCGTTTTAAACTCCATGAAAAATGGTATAAAATAAATGAAATACATTATTAATACATATGAATTAATTCATTATCTAAGTAGAGTTGGTTTTGACAATTTGGATGCCATATTGGTACAAACATTGCTCTTGCCTTGTTTTTAAATTACTGTTAAATAGCAGTAATCACTGACCAACCCACTCTAGCATCTTGCCATTACTTAGCATGACATTTAAAATTGCATTTTGACACGTTTAAGAAATGAGTTGTTTTGCAGTTTTTGATGATTCACTTTGAAAAATGGAGTCAGCTACCCTGGAAAGCATTAATTCGACCTATGACTGATCACCGTAATTAGCTTACTCTATATGAAGAAAAGAGTTCCGTTATGGTATTCATTCATTTATTCATTCAAAAATTATTAAGTTCTACCTCTGGCTCTGAAGTAGGGTATTATGTTAGGTCATCACCAACCAGCCTCTGTCTGCCTCTAGAGCAGCACTGTCTGACAGAACTTTTCTTGACCATGGCAATGCACTCTGCACTATGGGGAAGGTGATACAGAATGTACAGGAAGTGGTCCCTGCATCTGGGACCTTTAACCTTTATAGGTAAGTTGTCAACCTGACAATTAAAATGACTCAGAAATTTATTTGAGTCACTTTGTGAATATGAGATATTCCTTTCAATTCAGGTAAAATAATCATAAATAACGATAATGATACCTTTCTTTGCTACCTCTTATTGTGAAAATCAGATGGGATAATGCATTTTAGTCACTGAAAAAATATGGGTGCACTTCCTATATGCCTAGGATGAAGCAGGTTCAGCTGGGCTTGAAGGATACTAACAAAGTCCCTGCCCTCATAGGTGGAAGTGCCTTGTTGAGGTTACTGTTATCTGGCCTCTAAATCCAAACATGGTTCCTCCCCAAAGTCCGAAAGGCAATGGCTTGCATGGGCAGCACAGTCCAGGGATTAAAAGTACCCACGCTGCGGCCATGACTCTCCACTTCTTAGATGTGCGACTTTAGTTAATAACCAACCTCTCTGCCCCTTGATTTTGCCATTAGTAAAATGAAGATGTTAACACCTGTCATTGGAGGTTGTCGAGTGTATTAAATAAAATCACATGTTGAAGAGTCTAACACATGGCCAGACAGTCCCAAAGTTGTAACTACTATTAGAGTTTCCTCTGTTTACCTCCTTCTGGGTCCTTATCCAGAGCACTTATCCACAGCACGATGCCCAGCAAAGTCAACAGGGGCACCCAGAGTGTGCAGGGAATTTTACCTCGAATAAACCAGAGAAACAAAAGGAGCCTGGCATGAGGAACACTCAGGGGAAGCGAAAAGAAAGGGTGGACCACTTCCACTTGCCCAGTTCCCCTCAGCCCCTTGCATCACAGCATTCTTGCCCAGCCAGTGGAACTAATTGCCTGACAAAAAGACAGACTGGTGACTCGGGCTCTGAAATTAAAATCACTTCAACCACGGCCTGATCGCTTCACAAACAAATTATAGGCGAATCAATTTTGCTCATCCAGGTTTTGCACGCCTGTTAGTTTTGTGCAGACGCTTTGTCAAGACCCACCCGAGGACAAATGATTTGGAGAAGGACAATGCCAGCGATGAAAGAGTGAGGTAATAGCTGGGCTAAGCATTAGAATGTTCCTGATATTTAAGTACAAATCCTCTTTCTTACTTATTCATAAGCCCCTGTCAGAAGTACAAAGGACACCTGCTACGGGCGATGCCGGCTTATCTGGCAGGCCAGAACAAGAAGTCTCTATTAATTTTAATTCTTTTTATTTATTTGTCTTCCCCCTCCCCCACTCAACACACACCTGTAGCAACTGAGAGTGGAGTTAAGAACAGAAGACTATACGGCTATGAAAAAGAATGAAATCTTGCCGTTTGCAACAATGCGGATGGAGCTAGAGCGCATTATGCTAAGCGAAATAAGCCAGTCAGAGAAAAACAGATACGTGGTTTCATTCATATGTGGAATCTGAGAAACTCGACAGATGAACATAGGGGAAGGGAAGGAAAAACAAGATAAAAACAGAAAGGGGGAGGCAAACCATAAGAGACTCTTAAATACAGAGAGCAAACTGAGGGTGCTGGAGGGGAGGTAGGTGGGGGGGATGGGCTAAATGGGGGATGGGCATTAAGGAGGGCACTGTTGGGATGA